CGAGCTCCTTGTTGATCAATTCATTGGCTAGTCTTGACTTGTCCACACAATGTTGAAAATCTTTGTAACATGATGCAACACCAAGACATACGAGCACTGCTGAAGATCATTGTGTTTCAGACAAATTTTATAAGAACTTGTTAATGTTGTCAAATATTGAAAACCCTTTCAATAATGAAAACTTGTGAAGAAGTTGATCATCTTGCAATTTTTCTTGTAGATTGCTTCATAATACACTAAGTTGACACATTCTTTGTGATCATATTAAGCTGATGAAGACAAAAACGCAAAGTAACAATGTTTAGATGTGAATTTGGTCAAATTAGTACTCAATTTGATCATTGTAGTTTGACTATTAAATACAAAGTCAACAATTGTTGTCAATAAAAATTCTTTTGTTAGTTCACAATATCAATTGTTGTCACAATGCACTTGCTGTTGGTCTAACTAAATGCGTACTATGTTCAAGATTCATTATTTTGTGCTGGTGATGGTGATCAAAATTAAGATCAATTTGTTGTAAACATGTTTTCATCCATTCATCGTTAGCGGCACATTGCTGTCGTCCTTGATATAATCTCCAAGCTTCAACAGACACTCGTTGTAAGTGGCGTAGTCACGACATAATAGTTACACATAAGTGCTGACCTGAAGCTATCATGATAGAGAATTCATGATTCAAAATTTGGCTGAGTTGAAAGACTCGTTAAATGAATATAATGACAAGTTTACAGGAATCGTGAAGGTGATTAATGTTTTTAAATCATGAATCAAGACGCTCTTCACGAACCAATAGAGCTTGACTGTGAATTCATTGAAGTAATTGCAACAAGCTGGAAGGCATGATTCTAGGGTAGAGAGATCACATGATGGGATACATATGGGATCAAGAATCTGAATATATGATTAATTAACTTGAACTAAATTAGTTAGTATCATAAAATTATTCTAGAAGAGTGACAAGTCAATGTCAATAAGATTAAATCTTTCTGTGGTGAATAGATATGCGTTAAGAAAAATACATATATATACATGTGTCTTCAGTTTTCTCAACTGAGACACATGATGACGTTTTAGTATTGGCTATCTTGTACACGTGAACTTTTGTCCATAATTCATGATATGTTATCTACAAATGCAAACAGATTTATCTTAAGGTTACTGAAAGTTCCAAGGAGAGAAGTATTTACTCCACGTAGTAGCAAATACGTATCTCCAAGGCATTGTCAACATATACTTATATATAAAAGAGTAGTTTATTGATGATTCTTCACTTCAAGTGACATGGTTCATTGAGCAATGATCTTTTTCTCTTTTTTTTAGATAAGCAGTTCATTCATACAAATAAAACACAATTCGAATTGATCTCTATGTTTTTATGAACTATTATAACTTCTATTTTTTTTTCTAAGAGCTTTTTTTCACTAAACGAATAACAAAACAATATACATACTAGACTTTTGATCAAAATAAATCATGTATAGACTATCTCCTTTGATCTATGATATATTTTGATCTCATTTAGTTTTTTATTTCAATAAGTAAAAAGATATGACAACAATCATTTCATTTCAGCCCATGTAGAATATTATATACAATGCATTATGTTTTTCAATTACAATGGATTATATTTTACCATATGTTACCAAATGTGTTTAAGTTTTTTTTGGCATCTGCATGTATTGAAACAGAATCAAATTTTATTTGATGTAGTATATTTTAATCTATATATTCAGTTATTTCTTCCAAATAATTAACATGTTTTGAAAGATGCTCAAATTTTATTTGATGTAGTATATTTTAATGTATGCATTCATTTATTTCTTCCAACTAATTAACATGTTTTGAAAGATATTCAAATTTCAATTGATGTAGTATATGCCAATCTATAAGCTAATTCATTTCGTCCAGATAATTAACATGTATTGAAAGATAGTCAATATTTAATTAATGTAGTATATCCCAATCTATACATTCATTTCTTTCGTCCAAATAATTAACATGTATTGAAAGATAGTCAAATGTCAATTGATGTAGTATATCTTAATCTGTACATTCATTTTTTTCTTCCAAAGAATTGATATAGAATTTGATTTAACTCTCAAATTTCGGTATCAATCAAATATTATGTCATACATTCATACCCAACATTATACTAAAGCTTGCCAAAACAAACTCAACATAATTTATTTATTATTATTTTTTGCACTCAGCATCCATTCCTTTTAATCATCATAAGTTTGAATCACATATTTTTAAAAATCCATGAACTATATTTTAGTTTATATTTTAAAAAATTATCAATTTAAATTCACATTTATTTTTAAAATTATTTTTAAAATTATTTCGTCAAAATTTAGAAATCGATACATATTTGACGATTTGACCAAAGAAATGTTGTGATTAAATTTAAACAAATATATACAAGATGTGCTTGATAAGGTTAAAATGTAAACTCTGAATAAGTTTAAAATACTTTGACAAATTGTAAATTTTATGCAATTTGAGATTTAATTAATGCTATCAAAATGGAATTAAATCCTGTGTATTATGGTCTATCTAATACATGATAATGTGTGATTTAAGTGCAAGATGAACATATATATCATATTCAATATTAGTGCTTTCAAAATTTACAAATCATATTTGTAGAATAATCAATGATTTCAAACAAATATGTGTTTATTTAGTAGTTTATGGATAACTGCAATTTCTATGTTAATCTACGTTTGTGTTCAATATGATAGGATATATACAAGAAAAAATCTATAACTTTGTGTATGTGTGCACTAGTGAGGAATGTATTTTGCAAAAATAAAAAGCTTAATCAATTCCAGAAGTAGAATATGTATGGATATTGTGAACAATAAAATATATCATTTGATTTAATATACTTGTCATTAACATAAATTTAATAATAATAATAATTTGCATTGTTATACTAAAAAATTAAATATATATTTCATTAAACCAAATAATAGTTAGGAGAGTGAATCGTGTAAAATTTTACTTTATAAGACTAGCAAATTCTTACAAAAATGATGAGTTAGTGAAAATTTATTGTGAATTTGATACACTTGTTTTTTAAACTATGCAAATTGTACGTAAGAAACATAAGTAAAGCTTATTGGAAATTTTATTATATCCATATAAAATTTATTTATTAATGTTTTGACTAACGTTAATTTCAAAATTATTTAATTTTACGAAACTTTGTAATATTAATTTTATTTTACAAAGTATTGAAAATTTTCTTTTATCCATATAAAATTTAATGTATCATGTTTTGACTAACATTAATTTCAAACTTATTTAATTTTACGAAACTTTCATTGTTAGGATTAGCTTTGAAAGCTTTTATAGAATAATAATGTCAATGAATAAGAATCACAGATTCTAAGAATTGAATAGAAGTAAATATTTTTAAATCTGACTTTATGTATTGCTAATTCCAATCACTTAAAACTTATTTATCTAATATCAATAATAATGCTTTTCTTATCTTTTTTTAGTATTTAAGATCTCTTTGTGTTTTTGTGTCATGATATTTAACTTTTATTTGCAACGATACATCGGGTTTTGAATCGCGTGGACACTGATATACTTAATTAATAAAAGTAGCAAACAAATAAATATTATCAATTGGAGAGCAGCATATGATAAAAAATAATAAAACTTGAAAGTTAAATCTGTAGGTTTAAGTTTATTGAAATATTTTGATAACGCAACAATAAAATTTTCATTTTTTATTTTTTACAAAATATTGCATGTTTTGTAAATAAAATTCATGCTTATTCAATTGCACATATCACCTGAACTTATGTTCAGAAGATACATTTTGTTTTCTTCTTCTATAGAATATATAAAAATAAATGGTTCATAAGAAAATTTATTTTAAAAGCCAGTTCTAGTTTGAATGAAAAGATTATTTCCACTTTTTGTAATGATCTATTGTCTTATGTATCAATTTTGATAATATTATTATTTTGAAACTTATGAACAAGTTTAAGAGAGTTACAATTTTTGGTTTGTACTATGTTTTTTTCTATATAATTTTATAAGAAAATTAAAATACGAATTCTTTTCTGATTCATATGCAAGTTATCTGGTGTTTACATTCTAACTACGTTATGATCAATTTTGTTCAAAATAAGTTTTTTTATTAGAAAACATCTGAATATGCTAAAACAGAAGATAATGCAAGACGATGTTATACAAGTAAATGTACTAAACATTAATCGAATTCCACTGGTACCTATAAGATATAATAATACATTGATGAGTTTGAGTGATAATTGTTACTTGTATTCTAAATATCAAATCGAGGTTGCAACCATCATATATCCAACTACACTAATTTTCAAATTTAGAATATGAAACAAAGGAAGATATTCAAATATAAGCAGATTTCAGTTTCTAAAAACATGCAGTTGTGATCACACTTTTCGAATCTTTCTTTAGCCAAGAATAACGTTTCGTTTTCTGGTCACTTAATTTATGTGATGTATAAAACAAATGTAGCTAGAAAAAGAAGTGGAATACACTTCAACATGGAAGATCTCGTTTGCAAAGGTTATTGTTTCAGATTTTAGAAGATTTAACTAGTTTGTTATAGTAGGCTTTGAAGACCATGTAGTTTCTCTTTGAGTGGAACCGAGACGGCTCAATTGCTGGTTGAAAACTATTTACTCTTGTCTCTCTTCACTTAGTATTCGGTTTGGAGGAAAGCTGAGCGGGAAGTCAGTTGGTTAGAAGCCATAGGAAAGCGACAGAGATGAGAACAATTGATTGTTCTTTAAGAAGAAGAGAAATTCAACTTGGATGAGCAAGTCATTTAGTATAATTTAGTGTAAATTTAGTATAATTTAGTGTAAGACATTACGGATTAAGAATGAAATAAAACCTTATCCTTCTCCTTCTCTTCGCTTTTATGGATAAAGACCTCCGCACGGAAAGTGACTTGCTATATCCGTCTGGACTCGGGGACGCTTCACGTTGCCGAGAGCATTGATTGAACTCCCGACGGCAGCCACCACCAGCTTGCCGACGGAAGAGTTGATCACAAATGCGATGGTAAACGCGTTCTTCGTCTCTGTGTGCGTCGTCGGTCCGTGAGGTGTCCCGTACTGTCGCCGTCCCCGTGCGCTGCGAAGCTGGTGGGCGTGCATGACAGTACACAGTCACACGGCGATATGCCAGTGTAATCATGTTTCGGGGAGAAGCGCAAGGGAAGGAAAGGATTGGAAAGGCGAGACGCGAGCACGGATGGCGCGGTGAATCGTTCCCTTCTCGTTCTGAAGGAAGTTGCTGACTGGTCTCGAGACGCTGCTCTGGCATGCACCGATGCGCGGTTCAGCCGAGTTTGTCCGAGATAGCTTTGGGGTAGCAATTACACGAAGAAAGAGAGAGAAAGAGAGAGAATTAGAGAATTTGTGAGGTGGAAAAAGGTTGGAATGCTTGGAGAGTGAGTGATACACTACGCGAGGCGGGTGGTCATGTTGTCAGGAATGAGTAGCTGACACTCGAGAGCGTGTGAGGGAGAAGGAGCTGCCTGCTATGGGAGCTACATGGGCTGAGAGCAGCCAAGTGCTGCGTGACGTTGCAGACTCTTGCAAGCAACAACAATGGTCCACTGCTATCCGCCTCCTCACGTCGCACCCCGGGTTGTCGAGCTCAGCTGTCCTATTATGGTGAAATATCTCTGAACTTCGGTCGCCGTCTAATGAAATCACAAAAGATGGAAATAGTTCAGAAGAAAGTCCTTCACATTTTTACAGTGTTTCTACAAAAATTTGTTTTGAGTGATCTGAAATTTACCTTTCTTTTATCTTTACTTTCTCCGTGTCCCATGTTCCCATTCCTTTTGGAAGGTCAACTTTGTAATGATGTATGCATGAAGGATAAACGTTTAATCCTAAAAAAGCAGCATCCCGAGTCAGGAAATTAGCGATATCCGAATGTACAGTAGACTGTGAGGAGCCCAACTACGCTTTGATCTCAGCTAACTTCTCGATATCGAGCTGGTTTAGAACTTCTTCACTGAAAGACGCCGTGTGAATGGAGAATGGATAAGGAAATTTACACAGGTGTTGCAGAGGGTTTAGGTGCTTAGAGGCCTCTACAAAAATTTGTTTTAGTACCAAGGCCTCTCTTACAGTTTTTTTATCGGTGTTTTGATCGTGGATGAAGCAAGCGTGCCGACTCAGTGAACGTTTGAGAGGCAGCTGCGAATTCCTCCCTGTTTGAGATCTTTCTTGTGTAGACGAAAGTTTCAGAAAGTTAAGCGCACAATTCTGGAAACATGTAGTAGTTCTCTGGGTAATTTCAATCGAGATGGGATGAGGTTTTTGAGTGGAGAAACTCGTAATTCAGACGGATGATCTTTACAGAAACCACCGATGTAAATTATAAGAGATAGTCAACGTGGAAGGGGATGGTGTAATTTGCAAGGACGAAATTCCAACCATCAATTGGTTGAAGCGCGATCCTTCTTATTCGAGCCGCAGGTGAGACCAGGAGAAGAGAGGATATAAAAAATTGGTTTGAATTATCTCGGAGAAGAAGGTCGACGAATGCTTGCTGGGAGGGGACGGTGGGCGAGCTGGACAACAATCGGGATGAGCACTTTCTGAACATAACTTCGAGACTCCTAATAAGAGTGTGTGCACCATGTTGGAAATTTTGGAGCACAATTTGAAGCTTGAGCATTGGGCTTGAAATCTTTTTCTACTTTTGACCAAGGTGGCTCTTAGTTGTATTCAATCCCCAAAAATCTTAACTAGCTGTAGGTTAGTATTTTGGGTTTTAGTTCTGACACAGCCTGAAGAACCGCATGTTGATCTTCTTTAACGTCGTACCTCGTTATCTATCGGGGTAGACAGTGGAGCACCTTCACGGGACGGCACCACCTTACATGTCACAATATCACAACTTGACCTTTGTTCTTCTAGTTGGATCTTTATTCTACTGACCTAAGGCGCAGGATGCCAACTTTTGACGAACAGTAAAATATGTTGTTAACTGGGGAATATTTACTTCATTGGGAGTTACCTATGTATTGTCTACACTTCGGCTATATAATTGTGTGCGTTCGTTTCATGCTTTCGAGCGGCCAATTCAGCTGTGCATCCGCTAATGAGTGAATCTTTTTTTGACTGTGGGTGCAGTAATAGGGCTCTATGCTACAGTAAGCTCGAGCTCTATAAGCATGTTGTGAAAGACTGTGACAAGGCTCTTGTATTGAGCCCATGTACTCCTCTTGCCTCCTTGTATAAAGGTACCTGGGCCAGAAAACCTTCCCATCATGCTCGTAGTTGTATCATTTCTTGTCACAGGGAAGCATTCGCAACAAATTTTGTAGAATGTGTGGTGAATGCTAATCTTCGCATCAGCTGTTTCCACATACACAGTCTCCAAAAGCTTTGGGGTTGGTTATATTGCGGGCAGTTCATTCAGTAGCGTTCAATTGTATCCTCTGTTGATGATTAGTGATCTGACTGTCAGAGTGTAGTTGTTGCAACAAGCACTTAAAAGTTGAACGTGGAGTTCATCCTTTCTGGTGATTAGATATTTACGATATAAGCATTGAAATGTTATGTAAATCCCTGAGTTATGATAGCTTGCCCATAAAGAGCAATCATTGATGCAGATACGTTCAATACGTGCAGGACAGGCGTTGGCGGCCATGGGAAAGCATCAAGAGTCCATCGAAGTTTGGCGGAAGGGCTACGAGGCTGGGCTTGGTCAAACAATTGACTTGCAGGTGCTCTTGCAGCTTCATTCTTTAACTTCTCTGACCAAAATCGTATCTGAGAAAGGAAGCCTCCCTGCCGTGAAAGGAGCAACCTATGGTTATCCACAAAATGACGAGCCTGTAAAGGAGGCCTTGAGAAACAGGTCTGCTCCAGCCGCTGGAGGAGTAAATAGTAAGGAAGGAACGTTGTCTGATAGACACGAAGCGAGTAACGAGATCAGAAGATTGAGTGTTGACTTGCGCCTCGCTAGGGGTATCGCAGAGGTGAAGTCTTTTTCTCCGTCTGAAAACACATTCATGGAGGTTCTGCCCTTTGCTCATTTTTCCTCCTTTTGATTGTTAACCTGACTCAATTTCAAAATTTCAGGTTAATTCGGGCAAATACGATAAAGCAGTGGACATATTTACACAGGTCATTTTCCTGCTCCTGTTTGTTGCAATCTTCAAGATATTTATGGTGGCTTTTCAATTTTTTAATCATTTTTTTCACCTGTTTCTCTCCTAAATCAAGTGCTAAAAAACTTGCCTTCTCTCGTTGTTGTGGCTGCAGCTAGACAAGGAAAATATAGGTTCCACGTCTGCACTAATTGGCAGAGGCACTGCATATGCCTTCCAACGAAAGTTAGACCTGGCAATAGCAGACTTTAGCAAGGTCTGCCAGCATGTATTTCAGCGTTGCATTTCTCTTTACCAAATCTGAAGTTCTACATTGCGGCTTAGAAGGAATGGATTTTATGAGTCTTTGTGGGTTCCTTTGATGAGAATTGAAATCATCAACACGCATCTAACGATGATTTCAACTCGGGGTTTTTTGTAATTGTTGTTGAAATTTGGTGTTATTGTGTCAAGGCTATTGAATTGGATCCCAAAGCCTCAGAAGCATGGAAGCGTCGAGGACAAGCCAGGGCTGCTACGGCCCCTAGCTTAGAGGTATACAACTAAACCAAAACGTTGATATTTTCGTGGTTTGCCACTCTCAACGAGCGGTTGTATCAGTCCTTTCCGTTGCTTGAAAAATGCCCTTGAAACACTAAGCACTCACCGTGAGCTTCACCGCTTGACACAGGCCATATCTGATCTTTCAGAGGCACTGAAGTTGGATCCCAACTCCCCGGACACGTTGAATGAGAGAGGTAAATTCAAGTTCGCATATGAGCATATTCGCCCTCTTGATGTTGGTACATACGGAACAGCGTGACTTTTTCCTAAGCCTTGATAGACGCCAGTAGTTTACTTGCTTCACTTCATATGTCGAAACTATGTCCTGTAGCAAGCTTTGGTTTGTATTGGGGATTGAGCTCTCAGATAGAATTGCAATTTAACCATGCTTTACTTTGTATACACGGGTCTGTACTCTTCGGTCTCCTTGCGTGGTAAGCCGGTGTTGTTTCAAATGTATAGACGGCTTACAACTTTTTGCGTCTGTTTAGAACCATCTCAGCATAGACTCGTTGTCGTCATCCTCGCTTTCCTCTTCAGGACTTTCTATGCTATAGGTCCATTTCAAGATAAGCCCGAGCTACACAGTATCTACAGTAGGTTCGGGCAACATCTGTGGAGACTCTTCACGGTAGTTTGGGTTTTGAGTCATCCTTAACCCCCGCGCGGTCCAGTATCCACTGATGAAGCAGCGGCGATTGTGTATCGATACTGTGATGCCCGTCGGTTGGATTTGTTATTGTTCCCTCGTTCCTTTTTTCGCATCATTCTCGAGGAACTAAACTTCATATTGTTCTGAAAGTGCATTTGCATCCCTTTCCACCACATTCTATTTCCATCACTTACATGTGCATTTGCTCCTACTAATTGTGAATTCTGCTTTCGTTTATCGCCTCGCACATTCAGATATCTCTTTTGTGTATACTAGGAACGTTGGTCATTGAATTCGTTGATACATATAGCAGGCTGCCATGTATGTTTATATACGTACTGTGCCGTTTATGCAGTGCCATTCGTGTGATCTGTTCTGTTCTTCATTGCCCGTCAGTTAATAATGCATCGAGTTATGCCAGAGCTAGAGCCCCTATGGCTGTACCTCCCGGGTCTTTACTTTTTCGTCCCCGTGCTTTAACCCTTCTAGTTGATCACGTCATATGTCAGGCAGCTCGTTGTTGTGTTTGCAAGTACGTACCAACATGCTTGAGTTCTATTTTAACTTTTGGGTTCAGGATTGAATTGCTCGCTTACGTTCTTACTTCCTGATGCTGTCGTTCAGGTGTTGTGTACTATAAGCTCAAGGATTACCATTCTGCAATATATGATTTGCGTGCATGTGTTGCTTTGGACAGCACAAACAAATATGCCTACAACTATCTTGTAAGACCGATGTCTTTACCCTGAGACTTCCAGTATTTATTGTAGTCCAGAACTTTGACCTTCATACATGCGTCTGCTGAACTTGCATTCTATCGTGATCCCTTGTGGAGTGGGTTTGGTTTAAACAAGAAGCTAGCAGGGCGGGGCATTATCAGACTGGACATGGACTGCTCGATGAAAGTTGGAAAAAAACATGAGAAAGGTTAATAAACTGATAATCCTTGTCGGAAGAAATCTAACTTCGCGCCGAGATTCCAAAAGACTTTCCTTTGACAAGAAGAAGTTATAATGGATTCAACTGATAATTAAAAGCAGCGATGTAAGTTCAAGAGAAGAAGGATTCTAGCGTTCTAGAAGGACTGAGGAGTACTGGAGATTAGAAGACAGACGTTTGAACAGCTGCGAGGCTCGAATGCACTTTTGTCACGTCTATGAATGAACTTTCTTTTCGTGAAACTTAGTTGTGTGCATCACTGGTAGTACTGTACCTATTTCTTGTTTGATGGCATACGATCATGCCGTAAGAGCTCTACACAATTGTCTTGGCATCAGCTTTTTAAAGCATAGTGGATTTTTCTCTCGCTCATCAGTACAAGGAATTGGAATATTATGGTTTGATTTAGAGAAATCTAACGGAGGCGCCTTGTAGGGTTTGGCATCGACCGCCGCAGGTGACTACGTTGAAGGACTGGCAGCTCATTTTAAAGCTCTTGAGCTCGATCCAAGTTTTAGAGAAGGCTGGATTCACCTTGCACAGGTTACTCTCTTACTATTTCCCGAACTAAGCTTACCTGACATCGAACTTGGAATTCCTTGTTGTAGCGTGCAATTTAGGTTATTATTTTTAATATATAGCACAAGTGAAACTTCTATAACCAGGATACAGTTGACAGGTTATAAGCGAACGGTCACATTTTACAGTGTTATTAAAATTCCTGGACGGCTTCGAAGAAGTCATCGGGTAGCTCTGTTGATTTCACGCTCAGAATTTAGCCGTTTTGATATGTCTTGTATTCTTCGGCATCATCAATTTAGTCCATATCGTAGAAAAGAAACTTGTTTTAGCATTCTTATTAATTCACTGTATTCCATACAACTTGTTTCAAAGTACTTGCAAATTCTATCAATCACGTGGAGAAGCAGTATTCAACGCCAATACCGTTCCATGCGCTCAGCTCAAGACATTACAGCTGATTTCTCTCCTCCAATTATATCGACAGTGCTAGTAGGCGTCAGATGAAAATTTGGAGTTACTTCCCATGAAGTTTGTAGGAATATAGCTAACCTTAGGTGAAGAAGACAGTTTCATCATATTGCACGTGAACAATAGCCCTAAACTCTCCTGGCTTGTATGTGGACTACCAAAATACAAGGGAGACCTACTTAACCTAGGTTGTGTCCAGTTCTGGAGATTGCAAGGGCAACTTATTGTCTTTGAGATTAGCTTTGCGGCGATTGTAAGCAATGCCCTTCGAATCTATAGTGAATGATCACTAACTCCAAGTGACTGTACAGGGAGGAAACAAACCACAATTCAGATCTTTCTGGCCAAGCTATACCTCGAACCCATCATCTTCACTCATCTTCGTCTTCAAACACTATTTCCACGGTCTTCCTTATCTGGAGTTAACGTTTAATTTGGGGTCATGCATTTTATTTGTAAGTAGGAAACTGAGGAATCCTTCCACAACTTACACACTCTATGGCAAGAAGTACGAAAGTCCTGCTCACTACAGGATGGAATGCAGTTTTGTGCGTAGCATGAGAGCGAAATTGTTGCCACTAGACTGGAAGAGTCCATTAGTTTAAAGGGCTTTGTGGTCTTGGTCCAAAATCCACAGCAGATTTGGGAGTTGGAGTTATAGTTACCGGGGCCTTAATACTCCACCTGTGGATGAGCTCTCAAAGGGTTTCACGATTGATACTCGGAAAGCGAACTAATGTGATCATTGACCAATTATTGGACAGATTTTTCATCAAAAGTGACCATCGCTATTAAAGTAGTCATCTTTTCACTCCTGCTGTTTCGTCTTCTCCATGGATCTGTTCTTTTCACACTTAGCACTGCGCTGCCAGAGAGTAGTCAGGTTATGACAGGCACATTACTAGGTTTAAATGTATCGATGATTGAGTGCCTATTTTTATGATCATAGTCCTTCGTACACACTTTACTTGGAACCTGTTCTCTATCATGCAATACGTTAGATTTCTCTCCACTTTCAGTATCACTGTTATAAAGATAGGGAAGAACTTGGTTACATACATACAATAACATAGTGACATATTTCTATACGTGTTGGTGGTTTTCGGAATCTCTTCATTTGGTTCCTCATGTCTGCATACTTTTGCTGGACACGAGGAGCCAACAGAAGAAAATCCTAAAACTAACGTAACAAATATATCATGTGGAGGATTATTGTAGGTAGGCGACTCAGGTTCTTGCGAGTCTTTATCCCACTGAAAGAGGAAGGTAGTAAAAAAATTGAATGTATTGTATTAGATGAAGGAGATCACGTTGATTACATACGGTAATACAACACACAGTTGGGAGTATCCAATCACTGTATATTTCATTTCATATTCAGGTGAAGAACTTTCCAAAGAGGAAGGTATAGAAAAATGGAACGGATTGCACGATAGAGAGCAGGTTATCTACATACTATATTACTGAATAGATGAGAGTATATAATTAATCCATACTTATCTGGTACATCTACAAGGTGAAAGAACTGTCGAAGAATCGATTATTTTGTTCATTGCCTCTTCCATGTACATGCCTTGGCTTGTCATCTGCTCGTTGTATATTCTTCACGTGTCAGGTCTTTGTGCTCTGCGTGAATACTCAGTTTCTAAAGCAATTTCTAGTTATATCTTTTATATTTGGCAGAGTGCTTCTGATCTTAAGTGGTCATACCACAAACAAAGTTGGGTTCGACTAACACGACTTGTCTAGAAGAAATGATATGAGTTACGTAAGTTTGATCTCTCTTGTCTAGGTTACTGGTACATCTTTAAGGTCTTGGTTCTAATCATACTACTGGCGTCTATCGTAAGCAGTGTGTTCCTGGGGAAAGTAGAGTCTAGTATATCTGAATTTCACTGTGAAAAAAATTACTAATCACCACTAATCGTCGTCTGTCTGCTTGCAGTCATACAAAGAACATGCCAATTCTGCCGAGGCTATGCAGTGCCTTCGAAAAGTTTTGAGCCTAGATGTCAAGTAAGTCTTCTGGATCAATTTGCTTTATTGGAAGGTCGTGTCTTTTCCTGCGTGTGGTGTCAGTGAATACAAATCATAACTGAAGAAGGAAGTTGAGAGAAAGTTTAGAAAGCAGGGCATTGGGTTTCATTCGGGTTTTATCTCATGCTCGTTCAGTGTTAGTTCCTGAACAATTCTCATTCTCATGTCGATGCACTGAGACTGTCCCATTTGCATCTCTGATTGCTAGATGTCTAGGTGTCTGGAGGATGATGGCTGAGGGATTGCGTAGTCATCTTGAAGTGGGATCGTCTTTTCATCTAAGGCATGATTGCTAACTCCTGTCATGCATATCCTATGCAGTATATTATATAGTAGATTAATATATAGGTTTACGATCCTGGGTACTTGGATGGCTCTTTATAATCTCTTCCTAAATCTGGGTAGATTCTGTGGTGGTGTTATCTTACATTGATTTCAAGCTGAATGAATATCATTACAAAGCATGACAAATAGGAGTTAGGTCGATGGAGCTTGCCCTTAGCATGTTCTTCAACCGTCAGTCCTTCACTGATGGGTGCTTCAACTCTGTACTGCTTCAAAACAGAAATTTCAGAATTGTCTTAACGAATGCAATTGTTTGTTCCCTCATTCTTCAAAGCAATTTTCCAATAATTTGAAGTGTTTTGAATATCCATATAGCCAAGTTTTATTTGGAGATCAGCATCGGTGCCACGTTGCACGGCTCGCTTACTTGGTTGCATTTGAGACAGTTTTGTGTTGCCTATTGCTTGCTTACTGCATATTACTAACTATTCCGACTTGCGCTGAATTATTTATGGGTTTGCTCAGATACATCCATGCTTATCGACTCCTGGGGCTGCTTCTTCTAAGCTTGGGAGACCACAGGTATAGTGTGTTCAGGGCTTTCTGCACGGTTGTTCAGGAGGGTCATGAGTAATTTCGTTCAAGACCAATATTATCTTCTGTACTAACTGAAGATGTGCATCTTCTCCAGGGCCGCTATCATGGAGCTAACTGTCGGGTTGGAAATGGACCCATCAAATAAAGACTGCTTATATCTGCGAGGTTCTTGCTTCCATGCCATTGGGAACTTCGAAGAAGCTGTGAGTGCCTTAAATCTGTGATGATGATTGGTTGCTGTATTCTTTAACTTACGTTGTGCGAAAATGGGATCTAAGAACTTTCTAGTCAGATACTGCACATGTGTTTCGAACTTTCGGATTATGCACTGAAGCAGTTGATTATGCCTATTAAGTACATTCCAACATCTTCACTGACTTGCAACCCCCTGGGCACATTTGCTTGTTTTCACATCTGGAACTAGGTCAAGGATTACGAAGTAGTCATAGAGGCGGATGTAAACACGGGTGAAAACCGCACGTTGCAGTCGTTGTCGTTTTACCAGGTAAGAAGTGTCTTCTTTGTTTGTCTTATAGTTGATGATCATTACTTAGTGCGAGCTACATCAGGATGAGTTTTTTGCATTACTCTGATCATCCAGTGCTTTGGAATTGACAGCGGGAGATAGCTCTGTACAGCGCCACAAAATCTAACTTGCCTATCCATCATTTTGACATCGACAATGACCTCGAAGCCGTCTTTAAAGTAAGGATCACTTATTTTTACTGAACCAAACTAGATAGAATGTAGTATGGACCGCCAGAAGTAGGTCACTTTACCTTGCTGTTTGAGCATTGTGACTTCGCTACTCTCTGATTGAAGTTATCAACCTACAGGAAGCTTGGTGTAAGAGAATGTCGCCAGTAAGTTTCCTCCCGTCGTACGTGCGGCAGCCACAGTTCAAAGACCCGGGAGATGCACTTACGCCGAAAATTGAGACTTTTGTCTTGACGAAGTCCAGGAATGCTCTTTTAGAAACTGCGGATCGGCTTGGTCACCTGATACAATACAACTGCCCAGGATTTTTAAGAAACCTCAGACAGGTACAAGAATTGTCCCCCTTTTTATGGCCTGTTGATGTTCTTGGCCTCGCATTTTGTAGCAAGTCCCTTGTAGTATTGGCTGATTGACGGAATGTCATTGCAGCACCGCATGGCAGGTTTGGCTGCCCTAGAAATTGCACAAAAAGTAGCAAATTATCTCCGTGTATCAAGAGAAGCCAGAAAAGTCCAGGAGATGTCAATCATGGAGAAAGAGCGGAAGTTGGGAGATCACATCGAGGAAGTTAGCCAGAACAGGGTGGGTGCTTGCAGCAGCACCACTTCTGTCTCACCAGCTTGTTCTTGTCCCCAAGAAGCACGCCTCAAGAATCAAGGATTGAAGTGGCGTGATGTGTACTCTATAGGTGTCAAGTGGAGACAAATTTCTGAACCTTGTGATCCTGTCGTGTGGGTTGATATGCTAAGGTATAGTCGTAGGCTCTGAAAAAGGATTCGACTTGCTCCAGTTTTTAGGACTTAGCCTACAGTTGAAGTGTGTAGCCTATGATAGTTGCAGACATGAAGTTCATTATGGTGTTGGTGCCCAATAGGGACTATTCCATTTGTCGAGAAATCTGTCTTAAATATGAAGAATTGATTCTTTCTCACTGACTTTGTTATGGGTGCACCTGTACAGTGAAAAGGAGTTTGCAGCTGGGTTTGGTTCACACACTCCAATGCTCCTTGGACAATCTAAAGTTGTGCGATATTTTCCAAATTTTTCGCGGTAAGAAATAAGACTTCATCATGTTTTTCAGGTCGTTTGCACTTGTTTCTTGTTCAAACCATGTTGTATTTTATCTCCTTTTCGTGCACTTCATCCCATGGGCTGTTGCTGCCTGTTTCCCCTAACCTACAGCTTATGCTCGGATAATCGATGTAAGCTGGCCCTAGAAGTTCGTTGTCTTTATTTCGAATGCTATGCATCATATCCTTTGCCATGTTTCGAGCCTGTTCTGTATTGATTGATAGTTTCAATGCATCGTGCTATGCCTTAAATTTGATAGAGCCCCTATGGCAGTGCTCGTCGGTCGCCTTGCGTGTTAAGCACTTGCCGTTGACCACTTGTATGGGTCATGTTGGATTCCTAGTCTAGTAATGAGATCATCGTGTACGACGTTTTGCTAGACACGAGCCAGATGTTGTTTGATGAATGTCCAATTTTCATGCAGGGCTCTCGGCGTTGCGAAGAGAATTATACTAGAAGAACGACAGGTTTTCAATGCGGCCAATAGGCCCGTAGATCTGTCTGATCCTATGCAGCTACTCTCTGTTAGTTCTTTCACATCCCTATTTTCCGGAATTTGAATGTGTGTTTGAAGCATTTTTATATCATTGGCCGTGGGTTAGTGAGCTCTTACAGTATTTTTTATTATTTTACATTTATTGGTTTGTATTAAAGATCTAAACTTGCTTTACTTGTTTCACTCGTCTTGACCTGTCTAGCCTTCCCTCTTACTAACATCTGCTTTTGCTACTTGCCCAGCTTTCGTGCTCTTTCCTTCACTGCTTTTACTTCAAGTCTCTTTGCCCAGTTCACCACGTAGTTCGGAAGCCCTCCCGATCTGTTCAATTAGATTGTCGATGGTCTAGATGGTTCGATCTTGGTCATCAGCTCAAGTTGTTGTCCATCAAGCGCTCACAGTTCTTCAGGTCTTCATAAGTGCAAGTTTCGTTTAGTACGAACGAAGCCTACGAGCACCGTCACTTGTGTCTCTGGTTCAGTACTTATTTTATCGTCAGCACTGTCCAGCTTGACTGTGGGGTTTGATCTTAAAGGCTCTCAAGAGAGTACAGATTCACTGAGTACAGGTTTCACGTAGAGATAATACTGTACTCATCAGGATTTGCCTCTCATTGCCTCAAGACGGTAGACCTCCTGCCCTGTCTGACGAGTGCCAGTAGTAGAAGACTGGGAGATTAGGAGCAAGGTAGGATGTAGGGTGAGGCGGAAGAGCCAGTATTGAAATTGCCTGTGAATGCTATGTTTCTCATTAGTAACAGGTTGGATTTTTGTTCTTTTTGTGGTATACAGATTGATTCAGCAGCAAACTGCAGGGATATCTATGATATTGTTGGTGAAGACTTTTGGATCGTTACGCCTTGCTTTAGTACCGCCAGACCAGGGTAAGGTCTTATGCATAGAGCCCTAATGTGGGTTGGAGGTGTATCGGCAGCCGTCTGCTGACAAAATTGATTTCTGACTACCTTATTAAAGGTTTAGGTTGAGTCCCAGCAGCAATTATGACTAGCTTTTGCACGAACTGAAAAATACGGGACTTTTTGGTCGGTTTTTCTGCAGAAAGGTGTTGGATGGCACCAGGCTCACTTTGCAGAAGCTGTAAGTGAACTACACGCTTATATTACTTATCGCGGCCATCTGCAATCTTATATTTAACTTTCTGAGTATGTATATCGTATAGCTGTAGAAAAACTGATGATTTGCTCTTTGATCAGGGGCCTTAATGGCTTTGACTTCTCCATAAGAACGCCTGGCACACCTCAACGATGGGCCGACTACGAAGAAGAGATGCATGCTGCTTGGGAGGTATAGATTTCTCCATTGAGTGCCTCCATTGTATTGAAGGGCCGTAATGGATGCGGTTTGAATATGATAGAACAGATAATATGCCAGTATTCGTTTTTCTCTTTGTTTTGGTTTTTGAGAAGATATAGAAACTTATCGTTTGACAGATTTAATTATCTCTTATATACGTGTTGACTTCAATCATAGAGAATACTCGAGAGGAGTCGCAATATAAACTAGATCAACCTCAAACGTAATTAGTTGGTATTGCAACACTCAATAGATGCATTTGTCAACTCTTTTCTCGACCTTAAATGTACAGAAAGGTTTTTGCATTTCTCTTGGCCAAATTGTTGCTAATGTTGTCGCCAATTGCAGGAGTATTGCAATGCTTACTGTGGGAGAAGTAAAGCTCCCAACAACCCCAAGGAGCTGAAGAAACTGCAGGATTGTATTTTAAGGCTCGCCTTTTACTGGTGAGGACTTGATTCGTTAGACGTGCGCTCTAGTCCAGATGCTCTGTTGTTCCAAGTGTATATGCCTCCAGGATGTCAAGAGCCCCTATGTCTCTTCTCCATGAGAGTTTTCGTTTGTTTTCTCTCCTCGCGTGTTCCCTTCCGGTTCCACGTGTGCTATGTTTACATATTTCAACATTTAGAAAATTATTATTTAGAGGTCGGAGAGAGCTTCACTAAGCACTCCTAGTTTTTTACCTTTCAGGTACAACTTTATGCCACTGGCCAGAGGCACTGCGGTTGTGGGTTACGTAACTCTATTGGGTCTATTTTTAGCAGCAGACATGGAAGTCTCAGCATCCATTCCAGAGGGCGTGCAAGTAAGATTTGCCCTGCACATTCCACGTCATTTTCTGTATTATTTGTGAAATCTTACTGCTGTGTTTCGCAACCTTTTTGAAGACAAATTCTTGTAGTGATGAAAATTGTGTCTCAACACCGCACTGGCAGGTTGATTGGGAGGCAATATTGTCGTCGGATCTTCAAAGTTTTATGCAGAGTGTTCGTCCGTGGTTACTGCCATCATTGATTCACGACACATCCTGGCAGAACCTACCGAATGTATCTGAAACCTTTCCTACACTCGGCTCTGTATTGGGGGTCCTTAGTTCGAATTACTGAGCACATTGCTCAAGTAACATGTCCTTGCGAGAATTATAGAGGATGATTAGTGAAAGCCCCGAACCTAAATCAGTTTTACGTTGGGTTCTGGGTGATCCTATACTCATGTACAGATTCCGTTATGTCACCGAAAGGGTAACGAAAATTGAGGGTGGGTTGAGTCAAGTCCACTGGACAGTGTAGCAAATTTTTTTCATTGAAAACACTACAAAACCCTCAACCTTAGTCATCGATATCTTCACCATTTATCCACCTGATGACATGGTCTTCCCATCAGAATGTGTCCCGGCCGCACTAATTGCAATAAAACGTGCCGAAAAAGTAGTCCCTCGTCCACATGTGTATTCAAATAAGCGAGGAGGCTTCGTGTGCGCCCCGGTCGTGTATGACATCGTAGTTATTTAGAAAGAGATGCTGTGTATTTTATGTGTAGCCTCCTCTCATCTGTTAAAAGTGTCGCCCGGAGGTCGTACTTGGACTCAATACTTAGAAACACCGGGAAGTGTCATCAAGCATATTGCCTCATCTGTTACCGATTTGCTTGAAGTTAGGTAACCTGGAAGGGGCTCATTGAGAGCTGTACATACAATCCTTATCCATTGCAAAAAGTCTAGGAGAAAGCACATCATACTGAAGCTTTCCTAGCTCCATAATGAGGTACCAGTTGAAGTTCCAGTGGCATTTTCTGGACGCTCTTCATGTACATTATCTTTTCAGAATTGCCCTGTGAAGAGCTTTTTGACAAGGACGAGATCTATCCAATCTCATTAATTAAACCAAAAACCATGAAAATTTTGTCCTCATTACTATGGATGAATTTTTCGATGTCTAGCAAGCATACTGTGCTAAGTGTGAAGTCATCATGCTACTATATAACACTAGCGAAACAAGACTTTCATTATCAACTCGTCAAATCATATATGATGTTACAAATTCCTATTGATGCACTTTTCTACTCTGCAAGAATAAACATCAAAATTTCTATTTTGTTATCTATGTTGATATCACAATCTGAAAGTAAAATGTTCAATCTTACAGAAATTCTGAAAAAAAAATCATAATAGAATATTTAGGAGAAAGATTTCTTTAAATAATCAATAAAGTTCAAGGGCTGTTATGTAGAATGCAGTGTTATTAAAATTTACCAAAAATCTTGAATCAAAAAATTGATTCCAACGAGTCTTAAAAGATGGCAGTTTTTATAAAAATCATGCTTTTTCATTGTACATTCAAAAATCTAGATGTACCACTATTATTGAATCTTCATGTATGCAATTTTTTTCTCAAGTGTTGAGGAATGATTATTCAAACCCTCAGAATTTTCATTGAATCATTCAATTGCACATAGATCAAGTTGACTTTGCAATGAACGCTGTGTGAGATGATAGATCATGTAAAAAATGTAAAAAAAAATTCTTGGATTGTTTTGTAAGCATGAAAGTTTTAAATGATATGTTTTATAAATTTTTTGAATATTTTACTCAGAATAAATTAATTTTACTTATCAAAATTATTTCTTTCAAACATGTTCTGAAATAACATTAACAAAACTACGAGTCTTGTATATTACAAGCTTAATCTTCAATATGTAAAGAAAATTAACTAGATATTTTGACATTACTTAATATAAATTCACTGTTTATTAAAATATTAAAATATTATTAATTTATATTATTTGGATGAAATGATTTTTAAATAACAAAGATTGCTTCATAACTTAACAACTCAAGACGTTATAAAAGTTGTTGATTTAATTTCATCTTAGTTTTACTAATAATGATGATTGTTGATTTATCAACAAGCTATTGAGTATTTTCATGATCATAAACATAAAATCTTAGATTAAGTTTTCAATTGAATGTAATTTTTATCCCAAAATATATTACAAAATTTCAAATTTAAGTTTATGATTATTTATTGAAAACAAATAATGAAGTTTTGATACTTATAATTGCTTAAAAATTATTTTTTATCAACTTATTGATCAAAATAATTTTATTTACGTAATTAAAAAATCTCAAAATTTAAATGATTGAAAATCATGCACTGTCATAAACACAATATTTTATTATAATCCAATTTTAAAAATTTAGATTAGATGAAAAAAAATTATTATATTATTTGTTTTTCAAATAATGATATATTTAATAAATGAAAATATTTTTGTATCGTAATAAAAAAACTTATGTATGTATGAAATTCGTGTGAATTTTGTTTCCTTCTAAATATCAATGAATTTGGTTCAATACTTTGTAAAAAAATAGACTTTACATACATCCAACTATACTACAAAATTGATGTACAAAGCCGACTTTCAACAACTACGTTAATGAAATAAAAAATGATTCAGTCAAAAGTTATAAATTTGTGTCAGTAAAAACTAGTTTTAGTTGTCTTTTTAATTGTACAAAGCAATCCTTGTTAAACATAATTGCTTGAGTTGACAATATTTAAGTTTACTTATATTAATTATCATTTGTGTTATGTTTTCATATCTTTAACAATCCTCTATAATCAATATGATTAATATAAAAAAAGCCCCCAAAGTAAACATACAATAATGCATGCTTGAATTTAAGCTTACTAAATAGGTTTTAGCCAAAACATAGTAGAGGTCAATTGGATGAATTTTAATGATAAATTTTTTTTGACCTTATATTGTGCTTATTTCTAGTTGCAATAGCTATGAATGATGGCGAAAAGAAATGTTTTTCCAAGATTACATTAAAAAATATCTTAAAAAATTTCCGTGTATCAACAGTGAGGAAATATACCAAAGTAGAAAGTGACAAAGTGACATGATTTTTACTATCACGCTTTAAGTGTTTGACCACGTGAGATGCAGTTTTAGTGCTTATGACTTCCTGGATATATACTTTATTCTACTCTCTATGTAGTAGAAAAAAATTTTCATGATGACATTACGAATGTGGTGTTAGTGTTGGCACACTTGTATAAATAAATCGCATGAAATAAATAAATAAATATATTGTGACTAAATTGATTTAAGAGGGACTTATATTTGGCTTGGATGAAAGTCTAATCTAGTCGGCATTGAGGTTACATATTCTACATGCTGATGATAATCTATACTAAACTTGAATGTAAGGTTACTGGAGCATCATAACTTAGATAGCGCTTTAGAGAGACTTAAACTATTTATTATTCTAGCTTTGGTGCAACATGGATTCTTCTCACGCGACTTTTACATGCTTTTCAGAATGTGAAACAAAGAACACAATTGTAGCAACAAGAGGTATCATTTATTGTATACTATAATTTATGCAAGCGTATCTATGGGCAAAGAATTACGGTATGTGATGAATATTTGGAAGCTTTGTTGCAAGTGTGACATTTGACCTAACTAGTTAGGGTATCTTAGCTCCAATATGACATATTTAGGAATGCGGTGCTTTTAGCGTTGTCCAGGTTACCCACTTGGTTTCATTCACGGGGGTCTCCTCCCACTCTTGATATTGTACCATACTGTCTAGTTTCTTGCATGCTAAAACGCATTCAGTTATATGCTCGAACTAATATATGGGGAACACACTGAATGTACTCTGGGGGCCTATTTAGAACACTGTACGGTACTTGCATAAAGGATAGATACGGATCGGAGACATTGGCCAAGGTGGGTCCCACCTCAAGAATGCAGAATCGGAAAATGGGAATGGGCTCCGTCACAGCCTTGACCGTTCGCATTGAATCTGACACGATGGTGGACGCTGACGCCGGGGTCTGTTGCTGTTGGTCGCAGTTGGGTTTAGAGCCCGGAAATTCCGACCCGCTGCTTGCAGAATTCTCCGAATCGGCCAACCCTCAAGTTGAAGATTTGCTCGTGCGGCTTCTTTCGTTATGACTGCCGAGTTTCTGCTGCTTCGCTGGAGGATGGGGATCTGAATCCACCTGACGCTTTCATGGTTCCATGTTCTTCACACGCGAAATAGCGCCCTTCTCACCTGGATTTGCGCTGGGGTTTTGCTGTATTGTCTGGTCGTAGATTATTGTGCTCGAAAGGTCGAGGTGAGGGGAGAGCGAGATGGCTACAAGCTGGATCAGTGCGACGGGCTCCGCGAGGGCTGCGACCGGTGTGTGTTCAGGTCCGACGTTCTGTGGATCGGTGCCCTTGGTGAGGAAAAAATGGGCAAGGCAGCTGGAGATGCGGAAGGAGTGGGGCGAGGTGTCTAGACTCGTAGATTTCTGTGAGCTTTCGAAATCCAGCACGAGCCAGCGCTCTTGCTTTCAAGTCGTTAGAGCTGGAGGTGACAACGGTACCTCGTGGAGTACAGACGACCAGTCTCCTCTAAGCTTTGACAATGGTTTCGCTTTGTTCGGGCCTTCTTCAGCTCATATTGTCGGTTCTCCTTCTCAGGTACACGAACTTGTCGCTGGTTACTCGACGGTCCCCACTGTGGGTGCCTAAGACAGATTTGTAGAGTCAAAGCAATTTGTGCCCATGTAATCCTGCCTGGTTTGCGAGGCTTAGAGGCCTAAATTTATAGAAGCTGATTCCTTCGAGGATCTGCAGATTACTGCCCTATATGAGTCGTCCTAAACTTGCCTATACTCGTATTGAACTTGGTTTCCGCTGAACCCTCGGATTTCAGCAATTATATGCAGAAGAGCTCGAAGATGAGACTCTTGTTTCATCTGAGGATGAACATGAGACACCAGATTCTGCCAGAGAATTTGAAAACAACCAACGAGTATGTCTTCTTCACCTATTTATTCCAAGCAGACTGATACTCCTTACTTGGCACAAAGTGAGGCACATCTTTTTCTTCGTTGCAAGGGTGAGATTACTATATGCAGATGGAACAAGTCTGTTTTTCACAGTATTTGTTAACAAATCGTGGAGTTCTTCAAGGCTTTTCATCACGTCGGAACGACCGACGTGATGAAAAGCCTTGCAGAGAGAACTATGGTGCTTGTGGCTCTGTTGCCCGGGCGGCATGCCAAATGCGGAAAGGAATCACTCTGAATCACTCTAAAACCCTAAATCTTGGTTCGACACACTTCTTGAACGCTGTGTCTCGAGAATTGTCTTCTTTCTTTGGCATGAAGGATGAGGATGTTGATGATTGTCCACACGACTGCTCAATTTCTCCACAGGGTGACGGCGCAGGTAGTCCAGCATCGTCTGTTGTTGCGGGAGCTGCTGGCAGCAACCGTGCTGGGCTCTACCGCTCTCCAATATCAGGTGGCGTTCAAAGTGCAACTTCATCTCACGGTCTTCCAAGCCCAGCTATTGCAGTTCGCAATCTTATCGAACAGGCAAGGCTACCCATTTGCTTCTTCATTTGCCGATGTTGACAGGCGTCCTACGCTTGTGCTTCATGCTTGTAACAAACTTTTAGCATCTTACTTGAAAGGTCGATGATCTGTTGCTGTCCCGTAGATTACTAGAAGGAAGTATACGGATGGCCTCTGCTTTTGAGTGTGACATAGGGTTCTGAATTGTGATGAGCTACATGTTACTAAAGTAAGTACTCATTCATGGGTTATGTTTTTGTTGACTACAGGCTCGATATGCCCACCTTTGCACCATAATGTCCCGGATGCATCATCGAAGGCGTGGCTATCCTTTTGGGTCCCTTGTGGAATTCGCCACTGACTCATCTGGACGTAAGGCTTCACACGTGTTAGCAGTTTTTTGTGTGTTTTGAGGGTTTTTTGGGACTAGCTGGTGCTACCCAAGCACCGAATTTTGACTCGATTTTATATGTGCGTTGCGACCGATGTATCTATCTTAATCTAGTTGTTTTATAGATTTTTCTTTAGAATTATCTGAGCTCCGCCTGCTATCATGAGGTGATGTTACAACGTTTTGTCCCTCCACTCTGAGGGGTTGATTCACTGTCTTATTGAAATCTCAGATCCAATTTTTTCTCTGTCACCCCTGGCAATACACACCAGAAATCTGCTTGCAGACCCACGATGTACCCTTGTAGTTCAGGTACACCGAAGAGCTGAAAGAAACTTTTGATTTTATCTGCGCTTTTCACAAACGGTAGAGTTTGGATCTTAGTCCCTATTGAATTCAACTGCTTGTCCTCTCCTCGTAAGTATATGGTATCTTGTCACCATAATGTTCTTTGGCCTGTGGAACCTTGCAACATAACTGATACTCCTTTGTTAATGTCATCTTAGGTACCTGGTTGGAGCGGTCTTGCAAATGCGAGAGTAACCCTTTTCGGTGATGTCTATCCTCTTCCAGCCGAACAGCAGGTATAACCTTGTGGAATTTAGAGCTTTTGTCAACTTGGCTGCTGTTTTGCGCAGTTGCGTCACGGATAGCATTTTGCTATATCAACGTGAAATTTTGCAATCAGCAAGTTGGCAAGCTCTCCTGAATAATCCTGACACAGCGTTCACCGGCATTGACATCTGCTGACTCTTCAAAAGTCCTCTTTGCTTTGAATTCCTGAAGCATTCATCTATCTCTTGCAGGAGTGGGCACATAAACATTACTCCGTTAAACATCAGCATGGAGCATCTCAGCAATGGGGAAACTTCAACTATTATCGCATGGAGACTATCAGGTCTGCTTGCAATCCCTCTTCTCCTCCATTAGTTATTACCAGTTATTTTTAACAAATTTGCGACTCATGGTATCTTGTAAATTGTGGCAGCGATGTCTATTTCGTCGGAGGTTTCGGAACTGTGGCTTGGGTGGATGTAAAGGATTTTGAAAGTGCACTACCCGATGTTATAGCTGCTAACGGTTCAGAAAAAACCTTACAGGTATTTTTCTTTCAAGGTTTAATCTCCTCTATTCTTATACTGAAGAAGCGGTACAGCTAAAGCAAACCATTGGTTGTTTTTATTGTTTTCCGTAGCGGTGCACTACTCGTAATGAGTTGTTTTAAGAAGCCACGTAGTTTGCACCACTGATAGTTACCGCCCACGCTTTTCTGGAAACTATCTTTGTCTAACAATGCGAAAGCGTGTTTAACAGTTTACGGAGGTCTTTTACGATTTGTCGTTTAAGTTCAAGATGCATGATGTACCGTGGTCAAACTATAATTATCTTAATGGAATATATCTGTAATATATCCATGGATTGGGCAGACTGTCAAGAAGTTTGTTTTTATCCCCTTCCTGTGTGTGTATGTTCCACCTTTCGGTATGAGATTCTAAAAGTTCCATCATACCATTGCGCAATATCGAACCGCAGTTTAGGAGCCGAAATGTTGGCTAGAATTTATCGTGGGGCGCTTTATTTCTTTTGGCCCGCCTTATTTACAAACTTCATGTAGTGAACGGTTCACTTGGAAATTGCTGTTCTTGCTAATTTCCACATTTCCCTCTGAATATCAGGAGTTGAATTTAAAATTTTCCAAACCTTTGAGAGAGGTTTTGTCGGTAGAGGCAGAGGTTGACGATGCTGCCTTGATCTCCATCGACAGTAAGGGGGTGGATATCCGTGTCCGTCACGGAGCTCAGGTACGACTATGCAGTGTTTGTTTTCTGAAAGATTCAGGCTTTTCTGTACTTGGTTTCGCCGCAATATTTGGTTTACAATATACTCCTATTTGGTGATTACAGTCTATTGTGTTTAGATGGCCGTTGTTTGTGCTTGTAATGTTGCCCGTTTGTGCATTTGCAAGTTAGCTCACAGTTCGTTCCCGTTTGTGGTCAACTACAGTTTAATGTGCAAAGGTTGCCTTTCGACGAAGATCATGCTGTTGAGACCTTGGATCAGGCTATCTGGGCACTTCAAAAAGTTTTGGACGACGTCGCTAAAGTCTCGCAGAAATTGTAGCCATCATTTGTCTTCACTCTCTTTGACTCCCAACTCACAGAGGGTACCCTGAAGGCCTTGCCATCGGAGATGCACCAGCTCGAATGTACATGCAAGTCATTGCGGGCCATGCAACAGCCAAAGTTAATCTTCAAATGTAGCTCCAGCTTTGTGCATCTTTGCCTCGTCGTTGAGAATCAAGATATGTAAGCACGTATGAAAGGCAGTTTTGACCGGTCCAACCTAGAGATTTTGTAGCACAACAGCGGATTAAAGGAATTTGGATCGAGTAGAGTGTAAACGCCTCTTTTCAGCAGGTTAATAGCTGCGCAGTAGGTGCTGAAAGATCAGCTTTCCTCGTTCGCGTAATGCCACATCATGTAAACTGCCTCGTTATTTTGTACAAAGTTTGAGGATGAAATATCAGAGTCTCAAAGAATTTGATACTAGTGAGTTTCAGGATGGTTGTGCACGACTGTTTCACACCCACTCGACCTGCCTCATCGGAACTGGTATCTGAGCGGCGGAAACTCATTTGCTTTGTTCATTCTTTGATTCTTGCACTTCTGTTCATCTCGGTCTGGAAGAAAGAGACTGCATGCGCACTCCCCTACTACTTTTCGAACATATGAGAATGTTGCAAAAGGAACAATCTCTTAAATTACCTCCTCAAAAGCACGAGGAGGTAGTTTAAGAGATCTACTCTGTGGAAGACGTCTACGGTACCAAATGGTTTCCAGGATGGAAGCCAGGATTGGACACTGAGGTATTGAGTCCCTTCTTGTATAGGACCTCACCCGAGGCCGTGGATTATCCACTTTGGGAGGTAGCTAGTCTTGAACTTGAATTGGAGCAAGTTTCGCAGTCAGACACGCATCCATCAAGGGTGAACACCGCCGCAGTACTGTTCCAAGTTCCTCATGGCAAGTGAATATCAAAGCGATCTTCGCACCAGTGTTCCTCCCTTCGCGGAAAGAGAGTGCGAGAGTCGAGAGCACTAGAAACTTGAAAACTGCCGAGTATGGAGAGTTGAGAATTCCACGCATAGGACGCACGCCATTGCAGGAAACAAGCCACCGATGATTACCATCTCAGCGTTAACAGCTTTCCGGACAGCGTCGATCAGAATACTCCCCGCCTTCTGAATCGATGCCCCACAAGACGTCTCGGTTTCAAGTTTCAATATAACCCGGAAAGCAGATAAGTGACGAGGGCAACGCAAGATTCAAAGCTGTTGCCCTTTACGAACAAATTTCGGTTGCGAGGAGAAGAGCGTATAGTCAAAGCAAACATCTGCCACGCCAAAGTTAGAGGCCCCGCTAAGTCTTGGGAGGTTTGGAGGTAGATAAACTTTTAATGAGGGCGGCCACGTACGAGAAGGATGCAGCGTTGTGTCGGGAGTGAGGTTTAGGGCTTTGTCGCTGCTGTCTGCACAAGATAGTGGTTCTCGCCCATAACAATAGATGTGAAGCCGAAGAATGGCATGCTTCTGAAGCAGATTGGATATTCTGCTGCGGGGACATTTCGACGATTTGTCACTGAATCCAGGGTTGGTTCCGCCATGGTGAGTGCGCTACATTGGCCTTTGATTAGTATGTTGCTCCGCGAGCGAGACGATGTATCGAATTACATGTCTGGTCTTTGAGCAGAGGCCTACTGCACAAGTAGCTCTGCAGGGCCCTGCGCTTGCTAGATCTCCATTCTTGATGGGGAAATTAGACAATTGTTTGAGTCTGGTGGTAGATGAAGTTAAAGTAATGTACCATTCGCGGTACGAATTTCCTGAATTTGCTAGTTTTGTTGTAATTTGCAGGAAGCTATTAGGAGCCATGCCCGAAGAGATCGGCTGCTGGAGATTGAGGGGAAGATTCAGAAGAGATGGGAGCAGGGTAAAGTTTTCGAGGTTGATGCTCCATCTGATTCTGCAAAGGAGGGTGAGAAGTTTTTCGGGAATTTTCCGTACCCGTACATGAATGGACTGCTCCATATTGGACACGCCTTTTCTGCAAGTAAGGTACGATTATTGGGATCCATTTATCATGATAGACTTTCTCCTTTCCTCATGTGAAAGCTGTCATAAGAAATGGATGCCGCCCAAAATTTGTATTCAAAATTTACGGGATCATGAAGGAGGGAATTTCGGAGCCCGCATACTCTGCACATACGGCTGTCTAATGACCACTTTTTCGATAAATGCAACTCCCGAGCTTATTACGGAAGCTGTTCACTGTGGGCTGAAGACCAAGGTGTTCATGATCTTACAGTCATTCTTGCGGTCCTGATGCCGCCTTTCAACGTCAACACTGAATTGCCATTAGCATCCACACTACCGCTTTTTTTTGCCTTTTTATTGATAACCCTCCTCCTTATAGATCCCGTCTTAGTTGTGCAGCCATCGTTATTCCATACACTTAATTGTTTTGTGTTGCTGAATTGTCTGAATGTCTTAGGTGGAGTTCGCAGCTGCTTACCATCGACTAAGGGGAAAGCAAGTACTTTTCCCTTTTGGATTCCATTGCACTGGGATGCCCATCAAGGTATGAGACTAGCTGACGTTAGTGGATTACATTTAGACGTTTTCCAGTCTCAAAATTTTCGCTCATAGCAAATTTCATAACAGATTTAGAGACATTGCTTCTATCTGTTCTTCTTCACTGTGAGCCTCCTTATAAAGGCCCCACTGTTCGGCAGCGAAGTGATCGGCTGTTTTGTGGTTTAAGGTTTCAAGAGTTTGATGTAGCCCCTAGATTTGCAGATGTTTTGTTATGTGAGAGAAACTCGAGGATTTAACCGTAGGGAGCTGTGTTGTGCGTATACTTGAATTATAGGCTTGTGCAGATAAGATAGCTCGTGAGATAGAGAAGTACGGTAATCCTCCCGTCTTCCCTTCCGAAGATGAACTAGCCACAGCACCCACAGCACCTGTTGAGTCTGGTGAAGCGAAGACAGAACCAGAAAAGTTCAAGAGCAAGAAGGTTTGTTTCTGCCTGTACCGATGAGCCTCAGTATCCAGAACTTTAGATTCTCTACAAGCTTTCAGCTTTTCGATGAAGCTTGTTTTCGTATATTATGATCGATAATAGTAGGAGGTGAAAAACTATATGGTCTTCTCAATATATATACAAAATGTTATGCATGAATTTGTTGTATGTTTACATGTTCATGCAGTAGAAAAAGTCTATGCTTGGTTGCCTTTGTTACCTCTTTTTACGCTCTGTGAGCTCACCGGTCCTTTGAATGTTTGTTTTCATCCTGGTTGGATGATATACATATATACACTATAGACAGTAAGCGCGGATAGAGTTCGTCAACATACTTGGTTCTTCCATATCCATCTGTGGGTAGAACACCGTAATAGCAATCTTGGTCCGATTATTGTTATGCAATTGTTTTAGCTTCCTATCTACTGCTTGTTATCATCTAGTAGATAATTCTGATTCCGATATACTGTTTGTTCTGCGTCAATTTAGTCGAAAGTGGCGGCCAAAGCAGGTGTCGCAAAATTCCAAGTAAGTTTTAACTTTTTCCCTTTTTCCGCGTTACTCGCATTCTTTACTAGTGTTTCTTGCTTCAACTGGCTCTTTGGATATATGCTTGAATTACATGTCCCATTGAATGTCACTTCTTTGGATGTCGATCTCCATCTGCAGGAGCTTTGTTGTTTAATTTTATGCTCCTTCTTTTCAGTGGGAGATCATGCAGTCTTTGGGACTGAAGGACGAAGAGATTTCAAAGTTTCGCGATCCTACTTATTGGCTGACGTACTTCCCTCCACTTGCGAAGGTAAAAAATAGGCTCCTTTCACTAACATTCCAATCATGATGACATCTGTGAAGTTCGTACTGCGTCAGATTTCAGTCTGAGACGAAGTATCGGCTTGTTGTTTGCATAGCTGCCTCACATTCTCAGTTATTACCATTTCAGGAAGACTTGAAAGCTTTGGGAGTTGGTGTTGACTGGCGCCGGTCATTTATCACAACTGATGCAAATCCTTTTTACGACTCCTTTGTCTGCTGGCACATGGAGACTTTGAAAGAACAGGGAAAGGTGAAACCTTCAATCGCGTGGTACTTAAGTGTCTATTTAATCATATATTGTTCTTCCGGCCTTAGTATATTGTTAGCACCAAGGTTCTGACTAATCGTGACCTTTGTTTCTTTCATCTTTGCAGATTGTGAAAGACAATCGTTATGCCATATATTCCCCATTGGATGGACAGGTGTGTTCCGAATATATTTGAAGTATGCTGCTTTTAGTCAGGAAAAATAAGTGCTTTTGGTCAGGAAAAATAAGTGTGGTATTCTCTTCGGTGCTGATGATGTCCGTATTACCCACCAGCCTTGTGCAGACCACGACCGAGCATCAGGTGAAGGAGTTCAACCTCAGGAATATACCCTTATCAAGATGCAAGTGAAGGCCCCATTTACTGGTATAGTCTCACTTATTTTTATTTTCTATGTTGTACCTGTAATAGGGACGAATGAAGAACATACGTGCTAACTTCGAGAAGTCTGACGCTCTTACTTTCGACCCTTCGAGGCTTTTAATGTTTAGCTTTTCCTTCTTGGTTTGACTTGAATTATTGAAATAATTAGAAACACATTGTTGAATCCAGGCAAGCTGACGGCGTTGGAAGGTAGAAACGTTTATCTTGCCGCTGCAACACTGCGGCCAGAGACAATGTATGGACAAACCAACGCATGGGTGCTCCCCGACGGCCAGTACGGAGCGTATGAAATAAACGAGAAGGATGTCTTCATAATAACGGAGAGATCAGCTTTGAACCTTGCTTATCAAAACTTCTCCAAGGTAGATGCAAAGAAAATATCTTGATTATAGTTTGCAGTTGACGTGGCATCTGGATGGGACGACATCAGATGTAGTGTTGGATATTTCTGTCCCTAGTCACGTCGTACCAATCGCCGGTTGCATAATAATTTAAGTTTGCAATTTTTACATGCCATCCATTTGTGGATAAGTACCTCTTGCTCAATTCGTAGGTTTAGGGCTGGTTTTCTGAAAGGCTCCTTGTCGATTGAATGTGCTAAGTTTGAGTCGGCCTGTGAACAGGTTCCCGAGAAACCCACCTGCTTGTTGCCACTGAAAGGGCACGATTTGATTGGCCTTCCGTTAAGTTCACCCCTGACGAGTCATCCAATTATCTATGCCCTCCCAATGCTCACTATTCTCACTGACAAAGGTAAATATCATTTCTCATCTGTCTCCCTTTCTACGAATTCTTCCGTTGAACTCGTTTGAAATTGTACGGAAACCTTTAACCTACATCCTCTGCTGTTACACGTCCTATGATCTTTCTGAGTAAATTCTTCGGTAGTCTTTTCCTAATTGTTTTCTGTGTATGTTCCGTTATCTTTTCGTCTGAGTTATCCATCTTCCTTCCTATGAGTCTTTTTTCTGAATTTAATTCTGCAGAGTTGTGTGTAACATTTGTTGCTTACTTATTGAAATATCTCCATTTGTTTTCCTTAATGGATCAAATTTCCAAGTGTGTTCCCAAGTTGATGTAGTTCGTTTTCATTCTTCGGACATATCTTACATTGTGTTAATAGTCGAGGCCGTACGCCTGATAGTGCTTGGTGTTTTTGTAATCACGTTGTTCTCTCCACTACGTTAATTTTATCTTTTTAAGTTCTCGTGTGCTTGCTCCTTTAGATTCAGAATACAAGCAGCAAACGTAATAATGAGGTCATCTTGTCAGTTCAGATGTTGTCATGTTGTAAAATACTCAATGAACGAGGACAATGGGATAGATATTGATAGGGTATTGATAATGTTTTGCTCACTTCAGGAACGGGCATCGTCACAAGTGTTCCAAGTGACTCACCTGACGACTACATGGCTCTACTAGATCTGAAGTCGAAGCCAGGTTTGCTCTTTCCTCTGCTTCAGTATATTCTCATTGACCCCCTATAGATTGCAACTTCGTTTATAGCAGAATCACAACTTGGTTGTTAAGTATATTATATATATCAGAGTCATTAGTAAGCAATAAAGCTTTTTCATCATACTTTTGGATTAAGCGTCAACTTTTGTGCGATATTGCACTGAGTTTTCACGAGGCCTTCTGGAACTGTGTACACTGTGACCTTACCAGCTCTCAGGGAGAAGTTTGGTGTCAAGGACGAGTGGGTTCTACCTTTCGAGTTGATTCCCATCATCAATATACCCGAGTTCGGGGACAAGGCTGCAGAAAAGACTTGTATTGACCTCAAAATTAAAAGTCAAAATGACAAGGAGAAGCTTGCAGAAGCCAAGAGACTTACTTATCTCAAGGTCTTCCTTTTTGAATATCCTATATCACCATGCCCTTTGTTAGTATTTCCATCTGGTGCGAGCGTGAATGTTACTCACGTGTTTTTGGTCATGCTAGTATGTCCGGTGCTAATTTTATCTTGGGATTGTATTGTTTGTTGAACTTTTTTCTTTTTGGGTCGTTATAATTGGATCTAATGTCTAAAATTCCTTTTGCCCAGGGCTTCACAGAAGGTACTATGCTCGTTGGTGAACACAAAGGCGCAAAAGTGTCTCAGGTTAAGCCAGTTATTAGAAAGGTAATGATGCACTTTAGCTCTCCTCGAACTTGTCACCAATATAGCAGTGGGTGTGGCAAGAGTCGAACCAGACAAATTTCGTGTTCTCAGATTTTGAATGTTTTAAAACTCGCGTACGGAATGGTTTGCATGTGAGCAAAGTTACTGTCAAAGCTCGCTAAGTTGAGATTGAGACGGATGCAGATGATGCTAGAAACTGGCCAAGCAGTTGTATACAGCGAACCCGAGAAAAAGGTTATGTCAAGGTCTGGAGACGAATGCGTTGTTGCCCTGACAGACCAATGGTACGTGCTGATCTAAGCGTTTAACAATGTTGTAAACAAACTTCACAAATCGGATCAATTTAAAATGGAAGAAAGTAATTAAGCTGTGGGCACTCGTTCCAAAGGTGTCGATTAGACTTTGGCCTAAATTACTCGCACTCGAAGTTGAGTCTAACCACATTAATTTTTCTGTGGCTGTTCGAATGATCTCGGTTACTCACAACTGATTTTCCTTGAAAGGTGAGTGTATCCATTCGTATCTCTCACATATATCGCTCTGTAGGTACTTAACTTATGGTGAGACTGAATGGAGAGCCAAAGCTGAAGAGTGCCTTAAGAAAATGGAGCTTTACCACGACGAGACTCGCAATGGTTTCGAGCACACTTTAGGCTGGCTGAATCAGGTATTACCGGTTGTCGGTTGTCAACAGCTTATTATCTTGCGATGGTTGTGTGAAGTTCGTAGGTTGGTAACCTCAACGGTTTTGTAATCACATAAATTTTGTAACTACTTCCTTGAAATCCAGGTCACGATGCCGGTTGAGAAGATGAGAGTTTTTGCTGTTTTAGGGTCCCTTTTAATAAAATCAGGATCTTCTTGACCTCTTTAGTCCTGAATAACGAAGTGTGGACTGCCGTTGTGTTTAGAAGAACACTCCACGTGGCTAACCTTTGCTCATGCTGCGGTTCCAGTGGGCTTGTTCTCGTTCTTTTGGCTTGGGTTCCAGATTTCCATGGGACAAACAGTTCCTGGTGGAATCACTGTCAGATTCTACGATATACATGGCTTATTACACAGTCGCTCATTTTCTTCAGGTGGGTCATTATCATTATAAATATGCATATGCGTGATTAACTTTGCGTCGTAGGTTGCATTCAACATATGTTGATGTACCGAATGCTTGCCAAAGTAGCACAAGATGTTGCCTAAGTGTTGTTGCTGAGAGTTTTAAAATGCGTGGATGCAGGGTGGTGACTTGTTTGGATCTACCAGTACTCTAGTGAAGCCAGAACAGATGACACCTGCCATTTGGAACTACATCTTTCGGGATGGTCCACTTCCTGACACCACAATCCCTGCCGACTTATTGAACGTATATCTCATCTCAACTATGTGTGGATCGTCGTTCCGTCCTGTCCATTCCGACAGCTGTGATGTTTTTCATGTTATTCTTGTCTATATGTTCTTTTAAGTAACTTACATCCGTGAGAATCGGGGAATGCATCTAACATGTTGTGGTCGTACGTGTTCTTCCAGAAAATGAAAAGAGAGTTTGGATATTGGTACCCTTTCGATTTGCGTGTATCTGGAAAGGACCTCATTCAAAACCATTTGACGTTCTCTATCTACAATCATACAGCAATGTTTCCAAAGGTTTTTGTTCCATCATCTTCCATTGACGGGCTCTGTTGTGTTCTGTAATACTCTCAATGCGTTGTAGATGTTTGTAGTGCGTCCCGTAGTAGGTGCTCTGATATCTTCGGTGTATTGAGCCTCATATCATGCTTTTTCTTTCTTTTCTTCCTTCAGATTTGTTTAGGCAGCAAATTGGAACACTCACCTAAGTTATTGCTCCCTAATAATTTTACCGCAGGAGCTATGGCCTTTAGCTTTCAGATGCAACGGGCACATCATGCTCAACTCTGAAAAGATGTCCAAATCTACTGGAAACTTCAGGACTGTGCGCGAATCTATAGGTAAACCTTGAATGGGAGTCTACGTATTTTCGAAATTCTTCTCTTGCTGTATACATTTATGTGGAAATCTTCGATCTGAGCCTTGCCGATTTCTGGCCAAACAGAGGAATTTTCAGCCGACGCTACAAGGTTTGCGTTAGCTGATGCGGGAGACACCATGGACGATGCCAACTTCGTCTTCGACACTGCCAACTCAGCCATCTTGCGATTAACAAAGTGAGCTCCGAAAATATGTATTTCCCATGAAGCAAGTAGTATCTTGCACGCGTTGTGCAGTATGCATCTGTAGTATGGATGACCATTCGAATCTTATCTAAGTGAATTGTGGATTTTGACAGAGAAATCACATGGATGGAGGAAGAAGTATTACCAGCTGAACAAACGTTACGCAATGGACCATACAACTTCGCTGATAAAGTGTTCGATAATGAGATCAATATTGCAATAGTTCTGACGGAGAAGAATTACAATTCCCTCATGTTCAGAGATGCCTTGAAAACAGGCTTTTATGATTTCCAGGTACAGTCAACTTCCATTAAATGGCACGAGCCACCTTTCTTTTACATAACGAGGTGATGGTCTTTATGATGAAGCAGATCTGATCATTGACTACTGAGTAAATGCGTCACGGAATGAACTTTATAGCACAGTCAGCAAGAACGCGGTGGCCATGGTCTGTCAGATAGATACTGATCAGTATACATGATTAGGTTTTCAAATAACGTTATGTACGGCGGAAAATCCCGCCAGAAAAACCTTCACTGTAAACTTGGTTTCTCCTTGTTCTTCCTTGCTTCAACCCTCCTCACTGAGGAAGAACTTAGTGAAATGACAGAATCAGTACACCAAAGTAAGCCACCGCGCGGGATCCATGGGTTAATAATCCATGGGTAATAGGCAAGCGCTACTGTTTACTGCTGGAAACCACTCAATCCTGGAGGTATTGGGGAGAGGGAGCATCTTCGAAGAAGCTTCATGTTTTATTTTCTCCTCTCACCTTTTGTAAATCACGTACAGCAGATTCCGAGTGCAATATGACCTCATTACTGCTATTCCTGGTGGTTGGTGCTCACTCAGATTGTTGAGTTTTCTCTTAATTACATCTCGTCATGTCTTGGGACCATAGCTTTGTAGAGCAAATTTAGCAAATTTAGCAAAGTTAGCAAAGTTACTCATGGGGTAAGCACAGGACCAAAGTTGTTGGGTTGGTTGGTCTCAATGTTTTCAGGAACATATGATGGAAAGCTAATATGTTTGTCATCTTGCAGACAGCTCGAGACGAGTACAGGTTATCCTGTGGGTCCGCAGGAATGCACAAAGACCTCTTAATGAGATTTATGCACGTCCAGACTAAGCTTCTTACTCCAGTAAGCATCTCTGTCGACCTTTTAACGTCACTGAACCGTATTCCTCTGACTTCTGGCCACTTGTGGATCCTGCCTGAAAGATGTCATCTCCGTTATCTCTGTCCCTCAAGTCGCATTTTCCATTGGTTCTGTATTGGAACTCCTTCGATTCTTAACACCTTGCCTGCTAACTTCTTGTTTGTGATAGATCTGCCCGCATTATGCGGAGCATGTATGGACTGATGTGCTTGGACAAAAAGGATTCGCCGTAAATGCAGGATGGCCATCGTGTGATGCTCCAAACTACACGCTTCAGAGAGCTAATAAGTATTTACAGGTGCGGAATATGAAGCAGTAGATGCAATCAGTCTTGCAATTTAATCCAGCTATTTGTCAGAGTTCAAAAGACGGAGGATGACTTTCTCTACCGGTTTACATGGTTTTATCGGATCCTTTTTCGCATGGCAGTAGATTGAATGAATATATTTTAACATGCTTAGTTGATTTTGCTTGCAGAATGTTATCGTGGACCTTAGAAAGGTATTGCTGAAGCAGACAGCTCCTCCGAAGAAAGCAAAGAAGGCTGAGCCTGCTCCGAACGCCCCAAAGCCATCTATAGCTATGATTTTCGTTGCAGAACATTATGGTGGTTGGCAGGTATGGTGGAATGTGTACACAATATATACACATTAGACATAAAGGAACTATTTGAACTTGAAATTGTCACTTGTCTCTCATTGTGTTCTCTTTGCGTTCCATGCCGTCATTGGCAAGCACTGTCCGACTATGGTAGTAATTATAATGGCAGTACCTTTACAGGAACTTCGAGTATGTGCAACAGTACCTATGGATTGCTGTACTTATTCATTTGGCCCATCTTACCTCTGAAAACCTACCCCTGAAACTTGTATGAAACTGCACGTATATGACCTTTCATTACCTTCTCAAAAACGTGGTGATGCAGGAGGCGTGCCTTCGGATCTTACAATCACACTACGACACGAACACCCAGACTTTCAGCACCGACCAGGAAATACTGGCTTCCCTTAAAGACAGTCCTGTTGGCCAGGTATACACTCTGCTCTGGTGATTGAAAAGACCGTATAGTCGATGGATTTGCAGCGTTATTTTATTATTTTTTGGTACATGAAGATTAAGTTTTTTCCGGCCAATATGCGCAACTAATCATCGTTTTTAAACTATAATTTCCTGAGCAGTCGCCCGATTTCAAACGTCAGTGCATGCCCTTCATCAAGTTCAAAAAAGATGAGACAAAGGCTGTCGGAGTTCAGGTCAGTTCGCCAATGCAGTTGTTTCACATCGACTCCCTATTACCTGCAAGCTGTGTCCCAATGTGATGGGTGATTCCATTGAATTTGAGTTTCCATTTCATTGTCTTGTATCTAGAATGAGCCTTGCAATGGTAGTCTGACGGAGAGTTGTAATTTGTTTTGGCAGGCGTTAGATGTAACTCTCCCCTTTGGTGAAATACAAGTGTTGGAGGAAAATCTCAACCTCATTACTGTAAGTTTACGTGTGCTGGACCTTGCTGTCAAGAGGTTTTTTTTACGACTGTCTTCTCGACGGTTGAATGTGGTATGACAGCGACTGACTGCTTCTCCTGTGGTCGTGATGTATGATGCAGAGGCAACTTGTGTTGGAGTCTGTCACCATCCACTCATATGATGACGTGAATTCACTCAACTTGGCTGAATCTCACCTCGCACTTCTAAGACAATCTCCTCCTTCACCAGGTATAATGATGTCGAAAAGAGCTATTAAGTTCTACCGTTCTGTTGTGTACGATTTGTGTTTGGGACGAAGGAGTGGAATGATGTCCAATAGCAAGAAGGAAATGCCTTGATTTGGAGCATCAGGAAGAGTAAGTGCTTAGCATTGATCAATATAAATATATTGAAGAAAACAGTATATATGGTTGCAAGGTTTTACTCATCGACGTTTCCCGATCGATATGATCATGTGCGCAGGAAAACCATCAGCCATCTTCCTAACATCTGAGATGCCACAGGCTGGTATGTTTTCTGTTTCACCTACTTCTCAAGGGAGTTCAGTTGTTGCACCACATTTTCATCATCTGAAGTGATCAGAGCAAATGTAGTTCTTCTTCAGGTCGCTATGTGTTTGTAATCTGCTTGAAATCAAGTACGAGTGAAGTAGGCGCAAAAAGTATTCTGCATGTTACTTGCACGCAACTTCCTCAGTTTATAGCATGGAAAACGGAGAACTTCGGTGGCAGTCTCTGACCTTGACAGGTTTGGAATGCAGTAGAAACCGTTGCTGATTGAACACATTGTTTTTATTGGATGAGCTGCATATTGACCAGTGCCTTTGCTTCAACCATCGGTGATCAGGTGCAGAAGCGCAACTCCAGGCCGGTCTACAGGCAGTGCGTATTTAAAAGAGTCCCACACCACAACAGGAATTCTATACTAATTTTTTGGGAACTCGATTTTGAGTCTCACCTACTGGCCACCAGAATGTTAGGTGGAGATCAACGGCTTTTTTTCGTTTACAACGAAAACACCCGCTTTGTAATCTTGAAGAGATGAATATTGGAGAATATATGGATACATTTCGAGATTGGAGACCTGATGGGAGCCTTAGCTTCTGATGAGCTTTTAAAGGTCGCGAAGGCTACTGCACATTTTTGTCAAATGGATTAACCGTGTAAATTTATCCATCGAAATTCAATATCTGCATTGCGGAAAAAGTTCAGTCCACTGTAGCTCTGCAGACTACGATTTCAGCTTGTCTTCAGGGAGGTTTTGTTTGTTGAGATACTATCTACCTTGCGTGAGTTCATACTTGTTGTGAGTTGAAAGAAGATTATATCTAGACTGATGTTGGTGTCCACCCATTCATACGACCATGTTATTACAGTTTACAACACACGTTCTCCACTGATGAAGCGCAACACTCTAGTGCAGACGGATGCTTTGACTACTAAATCATCAAATTTAAATGTATAAATTAAACTAAACTTACCACGTAAAAGAAGGCGAGTCATTTGTTATCTTTTGCAAATAAAATGATTACTATACTACAGTAAACAGCGTATCACTATTCTAAACACGTATAAGTTTGGAGTTAGATGGTTTGTATTGTATTTTTTAGCCTTTTGACCCTTTGGGTCCCACGGGGTTGATCTATTTACCATTACCATTTACAATGGACAAAGAAGTAAACGTAAAAGTTATCTGCTGTATCGTTAAATGGTATATGGCTAGGTTTGTGCAGTGTTAGTGCTAAAATATAACAAATCTCGTTCTCAATGTGCGGTTGTACTTCGGAGTTGCAACATTTGAACCCTACCAAATTTCAATTGCCAATGCAACAAAACATGAAAAGTTGCGCCGATAAGTTGTGGTTTTGGCTTCATGTAACTGGCCCCTTAAATACAGTTGCTCCCTTTCTCAGTCATATTCTTACTCATAGTTAGACAATTGACTCTTGCAACTGCGAGGAGAAGATTTTACAACAATTTTACTAGTCCTAAGTATAGATGTAACTTAAGGCAATGCTCAGTTGTGACAACGAGTTAATACAGTGCAAAGAACTTTAATTTGCTGCATGATTCTGTATTCGCCCTTTATGCGATCAATGCTACCTAAGTATAGATGTAACTTAAGGCAATGCTCAGTTGTGACAACGAGTTAATACAGCGCAAAGAACTTTAATTCGCTTCATGATTCTGTATTCGCCCTTTATGCGATCGATGCTACCGATTGACATACATTCGTACATTGAAGATATGTATGTCATAATGTCTTGCTTGTGAAATTGCTTAGAATTCTTGATCCAGGATTTAGAACATCTCCTTCCGGTGCTCTATCATATCACCGAGTGATTTATACCATTCTAAAGTCGGTCTAAGCCATTACTCTTAAATTTTGGCAAATGCCAGGTTTGCCAGAATTAAATTAAAATTGGTACATTTTTTGCATTAATTTTGACATTTCAGTATTTTTTGTCCTATGTGTTCGCTTAATTGTTTTGAGCATTTTGAATTGATTAGAGTGGATAATATCCGTCAAGGAAAGTCCAGTCTTTCTCCCATTTGATGATGGAGAAGTCGTTTTCAAGCAACGTTGTTTTTAAAAAAGCTTCATGCATTTGCGAGCGATTGGAGATCTCAAGACTGAAGTAAATGCATGAAGCGCAACTTGCCTTGTTGAAGAAAGTATTCTCTTTGTGCTTGTAGAGTATATTCTTCACATCCGGATCACGCGCATACACAACAAGCAGTTCACGGTGTTAGCTCTTTGACTTGTTCATGATGTCCGTGCTCCAATGCTTGCACAAGTGTCCAAGGTATTGATCCATCACTTTGCTTAAAAAACATAGCAAGACGCATCTGGACTAAATCCGCTTGCATTACGGGCAGCTTCCAATTCCTCACATTGTTGTTGGAAACACGCTCCGCCTTAATCTACAATCCGATAGTCACAATGGAAAGAGAAGTTATCAATCTCCCCAAAAAAATATGTTGTTGTTTATTTTTTAAAAGTTCATTGTACAGATCATGTGTCATGTAACCTTGGTAGCGGATGTGCATGATAACAAATTTTTTTGTGACAAACAAACCATCTTGTTAGACCATAGTGGTGGTATCAATTTTGTTCAGCGCAACATCTACATTCAAACAAATGTCCAAAGTGACCTCAATATCTGCCATAAGCTTCGATGTTGTTCAGAGATCATCAGCTTTGGAGTGCCATAGCCAGAAGTCTCAAGAGGCCATAAACCTACCTGCCCACGAGGAGATAAAAGTGGATCGTCCGTTAACATCATAGAATCTATCTCAAAGATGGCAGACTCCCGAAGTTACTGTAGCGACCATGTACGTATCGATCAAGTTGTTTCAAATTTGAATTTCAGAATTTTCCTTAGCTGTACAAGGTCACCACATGAGTGAAACCCCTGAGAATATATTTCTTTTGCTTGACAGAGAACACAACGGGCCCTAGGATGCCTGACTTTGCACGTACACTTGATTCGCAAATGCTTATATTCTCATATATATACATGCCATAAGTATTATCCAGGCAGACGATAAGTAAGAAGAGATGCATGCAATGTTCCGTGTGCACGCAACAAAGACTTACGGCTTCAGCATGGCACGACATTATCATGACCTTTCGAGACACGAGGAGAGTACGATTGGAAACTGTGCGCATGGAAAGATGGAAAGTGTATATGCTAACAAACTTTCGACACACGAGTGGAGGCAGGTATAAAGAAAATTACGAACACTAAGGTGAAGGTTTTCACACAAGCAACAAAAATGTAGGGATTCTTGCGATTGCGTCATGGTCTAAGGAAGAAATTAAAACGCACAACCCCATGATATGATAATTCGAAACTGTTATGGAGAAAGAGAGAAAGCACGTAGTAAGATGATCAACACAGGAAGTGTAATTTACAACCAACTAGTAGCACCCGATAAAAGTAGATGTAAAGGCTTGTGGATATGAGTGTTAGCCGAACGCAAGCAGAAAAATAGCAGGGAAGAGATTGCGCAGATCACATGAAAGTACCAGTGAGCTTGAATTGAACACAATGCATCAGAAAAGACTACTACCCTCAAGTTCATGTCTCCTTACAGTGAGCTCTCCAATTATTGAAACAAATATCACATTTTCAAGAGAGTAATGCACAAAAAAATTCTTGACCGTTTGGATATCAGAGGTTTACTCACGGAGTCGTAGTTATGACAATGCCTTCTTATCTCAAAAAGTCAGAACTACATGTGACAGTACCTTCCAAAGTGCACCGCAAAAGAAGTCAGAATGTAAGCTAACCTTGATTATTCACAGGGAACTTTGGCTTGATGCCAAAGTCTGCAAGTCCGAAAGACTGCATGAACCCATACCCACTTACTCACACATGATAAAAAAAATATAGAAAATAAGGAGATTTTTGTTTTCATGGTGTCAAGGTAGATGGATTAAAAGTAAAATGCAGTGTGGAATACTCAAGAGAAGTGTGATCCCCTAGCTCAATACGATTGTGAATAATTGATCAAAGAAGAAGCACGAACAAGAAGAAGAACAAGGAAGTAATGAAAACTCCCGCGTCTAAGGAATCACATGTATAACTTGGTAAGGTTTGAGATACAGAAGCTAAATGTCAAGAGAGGAAAGTTGTGAGCTTTAGAGGAGATTGAAAGATGTCATGAAAGGTGATGTGGCATATAGAAGAGAAAATGAGTACATGCAAACAAGTATTTTTTTACCAATGTTGTATGTAAGAAGTGGAGCGGTTAGACCTGGGCTCGTAAAATCTATTGTTCTATTTTTAAACGTAAACTTTGCCAAAATTAATCTGACCAAAATGTCAAATCATAAAGACGTCATTTTAAACACGTTAGCAAGATGTCAAGCCACCCGGAAATCCCGCGCACGCCCAGTGACAAAGCATTTGTGCGCTTGAAGGGAAGGTTATCCAGGCGAGGAGGAATTAGTGTAAAAGATTTCGATAAGGCCGTAATGTATTGCTTCATGTCAAAGATAGCGTGCGTGCTCCCGAGACAGAGTCAATGAGTCCGGTTCGGGCAAATCAGGAGTGCAAATGATGTCAAATAGAGAAATTAATGTGATTGAACATGAAGAGTAGGTTGGAAAGTCTACAAGAGTTTGGTAATTCAGATGTGATTGAATATGCTGGTGAATTGTCCATTGCTTTAACACATGGAGTTCTACTATAACTTCAATATGTTTTTAAGTTCACGAGAAGTTGCAAATAGATGCTTGGATTTTAGATTGGACAAACTCAACGTGGAGAGCAAGTTGCACGCAAGAAAAAATAGAAGAAGTAAGAAAGATGCAGTTCGCATTCTTGGATAGGAGAGAATGCCCAAACGAGTGACGCTGACTTTGCTAGACATCATGCTAGACATGAAAGTGAAGAATTGACAAGAGTAGCAAAGCATTTGCAAACCATCATGACTCATGAGGTGGAATTAAGTCTTTAACCAATAAGTAATCAATAGACGGCAACATCATAGCTGTTGAGCATGAGGTGGAATTAAGTCTCTAACCAATAAGTAATCAATAGACTGCAACATCACACCGGTTAAGCATGAGGTGGAATTAAATTTCTAACCAATAAGTAATCAATAAACTGCAACATCACACCTGTTAAAGCATGAGGTAAAATTAAGTCTCTAACCAATAAATTATCAATAGACTGCAACATCACATCTGTTCAGCATTCACATCAAGCACAATGATTGCGATGTGAAGCGTCAACAAATCTCAAACACAAAGCTGTTTCAACACCCATGAGTCTTGTAATAACCCACCAAAGGCTAAAACTGCAGTATGGTGGTAAAAAGATCTAACCCACAGGGACAGAGGCAACACACAGAGTAAAAGTGTCACGTTTAACAAACTTTTGTAGAGTTTGAATTCTCAGGCGACTGTCACTCCCAGAAATACTGCAGTGCTCGACTCGGAGGCTCGACTCGGAGGAGGATCTCGACTCGGAGGATGCTCGGAGGATGCACAGTACAGCGTAGTCACTCAACACACACACACACACACACACACACCTGAAACTGGCAAAAGCACAACTCGGAGGTCGGTCAGGACCTCCGCTTCGGATTTCAGGGGGAAAGTGTCTCAAAAGTTCACTCAGAGGTTCTGCAGGTAGTGACTCCCACTCCGGCTTTTACTGCCCTTCCGCCAAGAACTAGCGTAGGAAACCCGGACTGGACTT